TCCGAAGAGAACGCAGGGGTAGAGGGCGACCCAGACTAAAATTTAAAGCTCTTAGAATATTCATTTCCATCTGTCTGATTTGGTACTTAGTGTAAGTGTTGTCAGTCACAAAGGCAAAGTCACCAATTTCTGGAGGGTACATTTCCTCATATTTGCTTGCAATAAACATGGCAGTGACACCAGCCAGCTGCAGCATCTTCTCGGGCACACAATTATCCTGCATGAACCGATCAATAATGGAAACAGTCATGTACATGATCTCCTGGAGTAACCTGAATTTCATTTGAACCTGCACTAGCCAGTCAATTAGGATGGCTCTCATGTTTCCAGTCACTTCATGACCCAGTAGGTATTTTGGTCTGACTGCTTGCTCTTCCTCCAGTTGTCTCAGATAAGCATAGATATCTTTTACATCTTCACTACAAAGGTTTGGATCCGCTCCATCTTCTGCCTCCACATCACTCGCTGTAAGAATTACATCAGAGAAAGCCTGACACACATATTCTCCTGCAGGGGCACAGCCAGGTGTTTCCATGGGGCTTGGAGAGGGAGTATCAACCAAAATAGACTCAGGGGGAAGTTTCTGTTCTTTAACAGGCTCGGGTTCTGGCTCTGGCTCCAGATCCGGCTCCAGCTGGGCCTTCAGCGCAGGTACAGGTGTCTTTTCCAGAGGTTTTGGTAGTTTTTTAGCAATAACTTTTCCAGCAGCTAAAGTTTTTGCTTCCTTTTTCAGGGGCAGTTTGGCCTGTGGCTCTTCACTGACTCTGTTACCGATGTCCCCAAGCGCTGTTCTTGGCCTCAGCCCGGGCTTAGAGACTGCAACAGTGGCCACAGGCACTCACTTTGCGCCTGCCATACTGACCTTCACCTTATCTTCAGCATTAATGGTCAGTTCCTGGCGATCCAGAGCGCCATGGCTTCCTCTGCACCAGGCAGTAGCTCAGTGGGGAGAAGCAGAGCACGGGAGACCCCAACCAGCCAGGGATCTTGAGCCCACCACAGGCCAACAGCCATTCCTCCGCAGCACTGATATCCATATTCTATTTTATATTTAAACTTTTAATCTAAAGCTGAAAAAGAAAAGCATTTATTATTACTATTATCATTACCTTATTATTCATTACTGCTTTGACCTGACGTCAGAAACCTAGTGTCTTTTCTTCTGTACCAAAATGTCAGTCAGGCCCTGTGGTTTTCTCTGTGATGTATGGTATGCAGCCTTAAATATGTAAACTGGGGTTGGTAAGTAGTTTTTCAGATTAATTTTGGAATAAAACTGCTCCTAAACATAAGCTCTTCCCAATGTGGATAGGAAGATTATTTCCTCCAAGATGGGTGTACAGTCCCAGCTTTCAGTGTTGTCATAGTCTTCAATACCATTTTGTAGTACAGTTTGATAACTTCGTAGCCCTGCGTCTATACTATCAAAAATCAATTAAGAAAGGTAAGCTAAATAATACCAGTTTATTTTCCTAAAGCGTGCAATCCTGTATTCAAAAGCCCCATTTCAGAGAATAAATTTCAGGCTACCACTTTCATATCTGGAAACTGACTGCAATGTTGGAAGATGAACCAAATTATTCTTTAACAAATGAATTTTCCAAAGACTTCGTTGTCAGTGCTGAGAGAAGCAAATGAGACATTTGTGCAAATACTTCTGAATGCCCCAATAGAAAAATATTCACAGGGTGTCGATGAGGTATAATGTCAGCAAGAAGCTTGGGACTTTGAGCCAACCTTTGCTGCTAAGTGGAAATGGGACTATTTCCTTTGATGACATGAACAGTTAGAAAAAATTCTCTCCAACATTACAGCACAAGTAAGCCAGCAAATTCATTAAGCAAACACTGACCTGATTTTGCTCCGAGATGTAGAAGAATAGCTGATTCATGATATTAATTAGTGAATCCATGGCCTGTTTCGTTTTAGCCCAAAGCAATTTCTGATGAATGAGGAAATTAATGGATTTATGCATAGTGCCCCTACAAAATACTGTCACCTCTGATCTGTCACTTGATGGGTCCAAGGTCAGCCCCACGCTTTGTGAGAACCTGATCTGTAGTGACACTTAAAATTTGGAACAGTGCCGTCTATATCCAATGGTCTGAGACCCTTCTCATCACAAAGTAATTTTGCCTTGCAGAGACTTCCTGTTCAAAAGTTCTTTGACCCCTCCAAGATTCTCAAAACATCGCAAATAAATATAGCTAACAGTGTGCTGTTATTTATATCTGTGTGCTCATTTGCTGCAGTAGAAGATGCCACCAATAATTTAACTTATCCTGAAAGTTCTCAGCTGTATTTTTTTAAATTAATTAATTTATTGGCTGTGTTGGGTCTTCGTTTCTGTGCGAGAGCTATCTCTAGTTGTGGCAAGCGGGGGCCACTCTTCATCGCGGTGCGCGGGCCTCTCACTATCGCGGTCTCTCTTGTTGCAGAGCACAGGCTCCAGACGCGCAGGCTCAGTAGTTGTGGCTCACGGGCCTAGTTGTTCCGTGGCATGTGGGATCTTCCCAGACCAGGGCTCGAACCCGTGTCCCCTGCATTGGCAGGCAGATTCTCAACCACTGTGCCACCAGCGAAACGCTCAGCCGTATTTTTAACATGCTGAGCGACAATGTTTCTGATTATACGAACATTTGCAAGTGCTTGTTTATGCTCTGGACACAATTTCTGCTACATTCAAAAGAAACTCTTTTATAAAAGTGTTGTCTGTAAAAAGGTTTAGATGCTGAGGCAATTTTTTCACTTAATAGAGAACTGCATTTCACAGCAGATCATTTGTTTTATTCTCATTCAAAACAAATGCTGCCATTTCTTCAGTCCATTAAGTTTCCCAACGCCCATCTTTTCTGTATACCAGTCATGGCTTGTTTAATTATAGTGCCTTAAGTTGTAATTTTTCTGTTGTAAATATTTTTTGTTTGGATATTCTTCACATCCACCAAAAAAAAGTGCACCCCTATTTTTTCTTGAAATACTAAACTTTGTCTTTTAGGAGATGCACAAGTCCATTTTTCTCTAAATTTTACAATAAGAAAAATAGCAGTAAACACGTGGTACTAAATAACAACTGCCAATTAATTTCAGTGTTGGAAATACAAAGGAAAGTGTGTGACCTTTGACTAAACAGGGAGGGTATAGCCCATCCACAGAGGGCATTGCCCCTCAGATTTAGGGGATGTCTGCCGTGTGGGGCCACTGATCCTCTGTTGTTAAGAGAAGCTAGAAATCAGACTTTTAAAAGAAATATCTACTAAGATTAAGGAGATTAATCTCTTAAGTTATCAAAATGTTGGTAACTTATTCCAAGTTTATTAAAATATCAAGTGGGTCAACATTGTTCTTGCCAGGCAAAACAAGTCTGCAAGCTGAGTGCAATCTGTAAGCCACCCATTTTCAACCTCTGGGGGTGTAGAGTGTGACAGTAAAATAACCTATATTCTACGTCTGTGTAGTCCCTGAGAACTGAGAAGAAAACAGGTACAGTTACATCAGCATGCTTCTATGGAATATGAATCCAAGTGCCATAATTAATTTGGAAGCTTACTGATGAGGCAGCAAAATGCAGTGGAAGGGAAGCCCAGCATGTGTGGGAATCCTGAGTGTATCACTCATTAGGTTGGTTGATGTTAGAGTCCTCATCTGGAAATTGGGATAATAAAATTGCCTTGTAAGTTTGTCAAAATTATTAGAGATGAAACGTCTTATACACGTTTCTCAGTGTACTGTTGGCATTTGGAAGATGTTCCATAAACAGTAGCTATCCTGTTACTACACACCACAAAACGTAAGTTTCCAACCATATCTCTTCGTTGCCCCCACAAACACGAACGGTGCCCAGCCACCTCCTGCCACCCCTCCCTCTCCACATCATGTTTCACTCCTCAGAGCAGCAGCCCACACCGTGGCTCATCAGCCCACTCAAGTTTTCTACTTGCCTTGCCCATGCTCTTACCTGTACCTGGAATGCCTGTCCCTCCCCTCTTCATTCAGCTCCTTCCTTTGCAACTCAACCAAAGTGTCACCTCTTCTGGGAAGTCTTTCCTGAGGGCCACCTCCAGTCTGAGTAGAGCACTCGCTCCCTTCCTGCCTTGTGTTTGCCTCCGTCATAGCATTTGTTGATAGTATTGTCAACTGTGAGCTCCTGAGACAGAGGAGCAGGGGCAGTCACCTCACTGTCCTGAGCACCTGGGTGCAGTGTCTTTGCCTGGCATGTAATGCGGGCTCAAAAAAAAAAAAAAAAAACAGATCAAGGAGAGAATTATGAATACGAATGAGGTGACTATAGACTGGAGTGGAAACAGCCCACTCAGTGTCTGCTTCCCTCTTGTTTTACAAATGCAAATCTTTGGCTACTGGTTATGCCTCTCCTCCTTGCCTTCCCAAACGTCATGCTGGCTACTGCCTCTACCCCACCCCAAAACCGATGGCAATTTCCATTCTGGAGTAGCAGGTCATAAGAGAGAAGATGCTTAAGTGTCATCTCCTGGGGCTTGGAAGTGGGGACTGGAAGGACCCCTGAGAGGGTTCCTTTTGAAAGAGAATAGAGAACACAAAATAGAGTCCCTCACTGGAGGCAAAGAAAGGGAGAAATGTGACCCAAGGTCTTACCTTCACTTTCAGAACTGATAACTTCTTAGCTAAGCTGGAGCAAGAATAGGTGTGCACCAAAGTGGGCTTGGGGCTTCCTGCACAGCAGCATACATGGTCCTACGTCAGAAGAAAAAGAATTTAGTAGACAGGGCTGCCATTAGCATATACTGGGCCTTTGAATGAAGAAAAGGCATCCAGAGGGATGCAGAGGAATACAGATACCTGTTGGGGAACTCAGCGACAGGAGGAGGATGGGCAGGACTTCAGCCCCCAAGTGCCGCTCATCCAAGTACCTTCATGAACAACCTACTGAAGGAGCCCTGATGTAAGAGAAAGTGTTTCCCTTAATGGGCAATATTAGAAAAATGATTAAGAATAACATGCAAATATTTATTCTTTTCCAGGAACATGGGTGACATTTGGAGGTCAAATTTCAGATGAGGTGAGTTACTTTTGGCTTCCATTATGCTGATTGGAGAAAATGTAGAGCAAACTATTTTACAATACAGTTCCTGGGATTCTGGCATTTTACAAGGATAATAGTTTAGTCACAGGAAATGGCTAAGACTGACTTAAAGATTATTTTCCATTTTATCTTGTTTCCCCTTTATAAAGGTAGTTCTTACTATCATTCCTAAGGAGATGCTTGGGGAGATAAAGGGTCTTTTCCACAACTCGCAAGGTCACCATGTTATTTAATAGGTCCATAGGGAGGAGTCCTTTTTTTTTTTTTTTTTTGCAGTACGCGGGCCTCTCACTGCTGTGGCCTCTCCCGTTGCGGAGCACAGGCTCCGGACGCGCAGGCTTAGCGGCCACGGCTTACGGGCCCAGCCGCTCCGCGACATGTGGGATCTTCCCGGACCGGGGCATGAACCCGTGTCCCCTGCATTGGCAGGCAGACTCTCAACCACTGCGCCACCAGGGAAGCCCCAGGGAGGAGTCTTACCTGCATATTTTTATCTGTCTGAATTTCTGTTCCCAGTATTGGGCATAGGTCACCACAGAGAGCTTGTTGCAGAGGGGAGTCCTTGGGAAGCAGACCTCTGGTGGAAATTAGCATGCAGAACAGTTATCAGGAAGTTGGGCCATGATGCAGTCTCAGCAATGACCTCAGCTGACCCCATGGGGAGCTCTGAAGCTCAGATGGCCCTGCAGGGTTGTCCTAAGTTGGGGCAAGAGGAGTTGAGTGTTTATATCCCTTGTATGACCAGTCGTTGGATAGAGGCAGCCCTGGGAGGCAGGTCTGACCTCGGGGTAGGTGACTCGCTTTAGCCAGGTGCCTTCTGATGGCAGCATTCCTACGAGCTGGGGGAATAAGTCCTTGAGCGCTGAAGGAGGACCAGGGTGGTCATCACAGGCTCCACTCCAGGGCCCTCTGACTGGCATCAGGAAGTGTGAGTTGAGGAGGCACAGAGGCAGATCCACAGATATCAAAGCAATGGCTGCAGACTTTAATCAGATGCACAATAAATGACAAGGAAGAAAGGAGGTCTAAAGTTAATAATCCCCTGTATCTAGCATGTGCATAACCTTTTACTGCCTGGTATGGTTTTTGAGGCAGAGAAAGACAAATACATCTTCCCTTTCGGAGCAGAAGGCTCAACTATAAGCATATTATTTCCCCCTTCATCTTTGCTCTCCCCTTGACAGTGTCTGCTCCCTGCTGCAGTGAGCCCAGCTTGCCCAGGTCAGAGTATGCAGGGCTAGCCTCTGAAATAAATCATTTCAAAATTATGATTCTAAAAACTACACAATAAAGCTGTTGTGAATGACTGCAGAGGCTCTCACCTCAAACGCAGACCAAATAGCGATTGTCCTTCCCAAGAGCAGCTGTGGCTTCCCCCCAGGGCCCGGCAGAGAGACTGCCAGCAAGGAGGAATGAAGGCACAGCCAGACCACAGTCACACCCATGGCTGAATTGATGGAGCTCAACTATTTCCACGTGGCAACGTAGGCACAAAGCAGATACAAATATTGGATCCCGGGATGAGCGCACCGTAATGTGCTGAGTGACATAATCATTAGTGCCACCTTGGAGGTGGTGATGTCCCCATTATTGGGAGAGTTCAACCATTTATTGAATAGCCACTTGGCAGGAATATTATCGAAAGGATTCTAACTGGAAACTAGATAACTGTGAGGTACCTCCCAAAGATGATTTGGCTTCATCATAAAACCAAGATAGATGTTACTCACGTGAATTATAATACTTTAAAATAATGATAAGAGTATATTACCATCTTATAGCACTTAATTTTCAGAGTTTTATTTATGTTTTCTCATCTGTGACATAGTTAAGCTTCCTTCATTTGCAGGTAACAGTAAACTCAACTGAAATTGGCTTAACCAATAAGGGAAAAAATATTTTTACTTTTAAATTAGAAGTGCAGAGATAGAGCAGGCTTCCAGGTTGGCTCATTCAGAGCCTCCACTCCATTTCCTAGTGATTCTCCTGACCCTGTGTTCCTTTGTATATCAACTTCATCCTCAGGTAGCAGCAGGAATTCTAGACCTCAGTTAGAATAGTAACTGCAGGGAAAGAGTGTCGCTTCTAGAAACTCTGCAAGCAAGTGTTCCCAGAAGTCCTCAGCCAATCTCCTCTCACATCTCATTGGCCCAGATGTGTCACATGACCTTCCCTGAACCATGCCAGGCCCACCAGGCCCCCCTTAGAGGGAGGTAAGGTCAGCTTCCCCTGAGACCTGTGGGCTCCCTAGGGGGCCTGAACAGAATCATCCTCATTTTGCAGATAAAGAAACTAAAACACAGAGAGGTCAAATGATTTGCCCATGTTTATGTATCTAGTAAGTGATACACTCAAGGCCAGACACTGATCCTCTGACTTAGTTCAGTGATTTCTTTTCATTATTCCACATTCAGATCTTCAAATCCCATGATTGGGAAATATCTCAGCAATCATTTAGTTCAATTCTCCATTCAGAATTCTCCATCTTATCTTAAAATTTCTCCCTAGATAAGATTTATTATAAACATTTCCCAATCATAATCTACTAGTATGTCATGTGACATAACACAAGGATGATACACAATACAAGCAAGCAAAATAATTTCTAAAATATAGGGACTTCCCTGGTGGTCCAGTGGTTAAGACTCCATGCTTCCACTGCATGGGGCATGGGATCGATCCCTGGTCAGGGAACTAGGATCCCACATACTGCATGGGGCAGCCAAAAATATTTAAAAAATTAAAAAAATATATGTATGGCAGTCATGATGGAAAAACTATACTGTTCTTAACTTTTAACTTCTACTTAGGAGAAATGTCATAACGGTAGCAAATTTAAAGCAGTAAGAACATTTTTGTTTCTGTTATTCTAAAGGATTTGCATGGAGTCCATTGTGCTAGCCTGACAATTTTCTTGGTATGCCAATTTAAAAAACAACAGGAAGAGTTTATCTTGGAAATGCTGTTGAAGAACCTTTAGCCCACAATGAAAAACATAATGGAAAAATCAATTTCAAATATTTGTGAGGTGTGTAATTTTTCAGTTGACTAATAGTCTATCAGCAAAATGAAAAAAATGTCCTTTCTCCAGTGTTATCGCTGTCCCTCCAGCGCCATCCCTCAAGGTGTGGTTTATAGCTATTCCCTGTGCTCTTCTGTTGCACTTGCCACTCGTGTTCAGCAGCACGAAGGAAGGAACAAGGAGCTTGGAGGTCTTAGGCTGACCTGTGAGGCACCGGTGCACTCACCCCCTCCTCTCCATGTAGTGTCAGTGCGGCTAGTGGTCGTTCTGTGATGGTGCCTGGGGTGGTGCTGAGCTGTGCGTGGCGGGAGTTTTCCAACAGTCCCAGCTCCATGTAACTTTTGGTTCATCAGTACAGTCTGCTAGGCCTCCAGGGAAAAATGTTACAAACTTTTAGGTCAGGAGTCACCCAGCTGCCAGAACCTGTTGGCTTGGGGAAAAGAGAAAGAAGAGAAATGAAGTCACCAGGGATATAAATGACCCTCTTGGTCAGTGAGATTGCAGTGCCACAGAGCGTGTTGTCAAACCACGTCTTCCAAGCAGAGTGAGAAACACAAGCCTCTCCATCTCACTGTGTTCCTGGTGGCTGACTTATCCCAGCGCTGAAGGAAACCCCTCAGTGCCCAGTATAGGTCTGAGGGAAGGGGTACTTTTACCCTATTCAGGCCGGTTGAATCTTCTTCCTTCTTTCTTTCTTTAATATAACTGAGAAAAACAAGAATGGTCGGTGAAATTTCCATGTTCATAAAGACCACCAGAGGATTCCAAGTTGCTTCCCAGCTTTAGAAAGTATTTGGCTTTTACGACTGACCTTTTTTTTCTTTAACATCTTTATTGGAGTATAATTGCTTTACAATGTTGTGTTAGTTTCTACTGTATAACAAAGTGAATTAGCTATAGGTATACATATATCCCCATATCTCCTCCCTCTTGCGTCTCCCTCCCACCCTCCCTATCCTACCCTTCTAGGTGGTCACAAAGCACGGAGCTGATCTCCCTGTGCTATGCGACTGCTTCCCACTACCTATCTATTTTACATTTGGTAGTGTATATATGTCCATGCCACTCTCTCACTTCATCCCAGCTTACCCTTCCCCCTCCCTGTGACCTGTGCATCCTCTTGCAGGTTGCTGAACGGCTGATGACAATTGCCTACGAGAGTGGAGTGAATCTCTTTGATACGGCTGAGGTCTACGCTGCTGGAAAGTAAGTCAGTGCCTGATGTGTCTCTCAGGTGTCATTTCTGGAACCAAGAGACTCTGCCCAGACCATTGCTGACAAGGGTCTGTCCTCCCCACACATGTTGATGCCGCTGCTTTTCTCCCTCCCTCTCCCACCATCACCAGAATTGGGGCTATTGACCATCTCTGGGCCCCTCTGCCTACCTCTGGTCCCTATATGAAGAATGGACTGGAAGCAATTGCCACACGAGGGGCAGAGGTGGTTGAGATCAGAGTGGTGGCAGTGGAGATCTATAAATATTAGCTGAATGTAATTAACATAAGTGAGCAGATTCCAGCGTGGTGTTCCAAAGCTAGTCTCATAATTTCATAACCACACCTCGTAGTTCCTCAACCCCGAGGGAAATGGACACATCCTCTCTGCAGGGAAGCAGGCCTGTCTCTCCACCGGGCATTACAGGTAAATCAGAGATTAAAGGAGGGACTCCCAAAGATGCCAAGAAACCCAATATCTTTTATAAGAGGACATTTCAGACCCCATTCTAAGGACAGAGAGTGCTGCAAAGAGGCCTTGCTTCTTCTGCTGGAGAAGTCACAGCTAGCTATAACCTTCTTATGGACCTGAGAGCAGGTTTGGGGCTCCGGGATAGGGCTCACTGCTAAGTCAGAACACAAGGGTGCTGTGCCTTCAAGGTCCATGCCCTCTGTTCCTGCACAATAAGCACATTCAACAGAAGTGGAACGCCTTGGCCTCCTGCTATGAACGTGGATGCAGGAAAGAAGCTAAACATCTGGACAGCTGCTTGAGCAGCTCTGCAATTTTCTAACAGGGCTGAGGAGTGTAATCACCTGTACGCCTAATTCCCCCGCTTCCAGGTAAGAATAACAGTCAGACTGCTGTATCAGGTTCATCACTGCTTGATAAAAGTGCATTTTCCTAGCCTGGGTTTCCTCCTTTTCAAGGGCATGTCTATGTTTAAGGACCATCAGGGAGGTTCAGAGCCCACATCCTTGATGTTTTCTATTGAGTCCAAGGAGAGAAAATACAATTGACGAGGGCTTGTTCCTTTCCACATCCTACCCTATCTCAGCGTTTTCTTCTTTTGTTAAATCCTGCTTATTACCAAGTGGGCCTAAGGCTGAAAAAGGGGGAGTGATTAACAAGTCTTTTAGAGCTATGTTTGTATTCCTGTTGTAAAGGATAATCGCTCCTGATTAATTATTGATTGATTGTCCTTGTAGAATGAGATAGGTTCCCACTGTGAAATGCAAGGTTGCAAGAGAGTCTGGGGAAAGAACCCAGAAGTAACATTCAACACGTATCTACTTGGGGCATGCCCCGCAGCTAACCCACCTCATGGTTTATTGCCAGGCTGTACACTCCAACAGAGACAGATGCTAATGGATAAAGTGCTGATTATATTGATGTCACCATTCACAAAGCCTGAGAGCCCACCTACTTCTTACAATGTTGGTCTGGCTGGGAGGAACCTAGAAGGAAGTTTTGGTCTCCTTAAGCTTGGGTCCCAGCTGGGGTAGGTGGAGGGGGAGAGGATGGTGAGGGTATCTTCAGTATAACTCTCCACGACTGGAGTCAGCGGCAGGAAGGACCCTTCCCTACGACTTCTTATATCCTTCTCCTATGACAACGCTTGTCACTGGAAGCCAGGACATTCTCTATGTGGGCTGCTGCATCTACAATCCTGGCTTTGGGACATCTAAAGCCACACATAGGTTCTTTTACCCTGCACGATCGCCTGGAGTCAGTATTTTCTGTCTGAAAAGCATGAGGTCTCATTGTCCTCCCCAGTCACAATCGAAGACCACAGCCATTAGAAAGAAACCCTTGACTCCCTTTGGATACCGCCAAAGAGGACAGTTATATATGGGATCATTGGTTCAAAAACACCAAACTGCCAAGTGACTCTGCTGTTTCCTAGTATCAGGACTGCAGGCGGTCTCCTGCCAGTGTGTCAGGATTTGGCAGGTGCTTCTGGAATGCTCCAGGAGCAGGATTCCGCAGGCACAAGCAGAAACAGTGGAAACTGCTACCAGCCGAGAGCAGCTTCTATTTTCGGGACATGTAGGCACTGAGAGTTCAAACAAGGAGGGGATCTGGTGTTTTGGATTGACTCTTGCGTTTCCAGGACACTGTATCCTAAGACATTATCTGTTTCCTCTTCAGGGCAGAAGTGATTCTGGGGAGCATTATCAAGAAGAAAGGCTGGAGGTAATGCATTCACCGTAATCATTTACTTGCCTTTAAAACGACTGTTGTTATTTTGTACCAGAGAAGAGAAAATAAAATTGCATGACAGCTGACCAAAAGGCTGTCAAAAAAAGTCAATTCTTAGTAAAGAAATGATTTACAGCGCCTTGAAAATAAATATTAGCGAGCTCATTACTTGTGCTTCAAAAGTAATTGACTTGTCATTGATCACAATGAATTACCATGAGTTGAGCAGAGAATGTTCATGAGATATTTGTGCGTAAAAGAAAGTGGCATTTTCATGGTTTCTGACTGCCATTTGTGGTAATCTGGTGAAGGAAGCCAGCTGACAGAAAACTTATTATCTCTACACACATACTTATGTTCATTGTTCATTTTATTAACAACTCTGGATGCAAAGAAATGATGAAACAAGAAACCCTTGGGATAAATATCCCAAAGCTTTCTTTTCTGAACACAATTAGCCAGCATCTCTCCTGTGCGCTGGGAGCCCTGCAGGAAAGTGCTTCATCTGCTATCCTTGAGGGGTCCTGTTGCATCCCATCACCTTCTGGAGCCAAAGCAAGTAGTAACGAGTGATGCAATAGTGGTGGCGGGGTGGGGAGCCAACCCCCTCCATCTCACTACACCTGTCAGCACCAATAGCTGCTTCTCCCCCAGCATGAGTACAGGATCAGGCCGAGTCCAGCCAAGGCCACAGGACAAATCTGGAGTCGTCTTCTGCTCTGGTATAAGATCTGCTGACGGCCAAATAAATAACCATTCTATAGGACGAGTGGAAATGGAGACCCAGAAGTGTATGGCGATATGAACAAATAAACTTTGGTGACCTCTTTCTCCCTCTCCCTCTCCTCTTTCCCTACTCCAGGGACTGTAAGAGTGTGAAAAGAATATTGTATTCAACCTTAAATACGGAAAAATATTCACATCCCCACCCAGTCCTCCACCTTGCCTGAGTCACCTTCCTACTCAGAATGTTGGCTCATCCATCGCTGCTCAGATAGGACTGTATCACTTTCTCAGGGCTGCTGTAACAATATGCTACACACTGGGTGGCTTAAAACAACAGTAATTTATTCGCTCTGTTCTGGGGTCCAAAAGTACAAAATGAATATTTGGACAAGGGCATGCTCTTTCTGAATCCTTCTTTGCTTCTTCCTAGCTTCTGGGGTTGCTGGCCATCATTGGCATTCTGTGGCTTACAACTGCAGCTCTTCAACCTCTGCCTCTGGCTTCATATGGCATTCTCCCCTCGTGTTTCTGTGCGGCTTCTTATAAAGACACCAGTCATATTGGATAAAGGGCCCACCTTACTCCAGTATCACCTCATCTTAATTTAACTAATTACATCTGCAATGACCCTATTTCCAAATAATCTCACGTTCTGAGGTACTGGGGGATAGGATTTCAACATACCTTTTGCGGGGGACACAGTTCAACCTATAACAGAGACCTTGGAGATGAGTCCACTAATGTCCAGTGAAATCAACAGCGAGGTGTCAGCTGCCAGAGTACACCTGAGGATGAAGGGGAAACTTCGGTGCTGTAGTTCTCTTCCCCTCTGCATCCAGAGAATGTCTACTCATCACTCACCATACTTTGCAAAGCTTCTTCTACACGTTTTGTAGAAAATAGATTAACATGCATCTTTCACAAACTGCCTTTCTGTCTTGCAAATAAAAACTCAAGCTATCCCCATGCTACAGAAAATTGATATCAGGTCATATCAGTTCACAGCTGCCCACCCGAGATTGCTGAAAAGATAAACCATAACATCACAGCATGGAGGCTACAAAAGCAGTTTCAGCCAGCATCCTTGCCTACTTGTCCCAAGACCACCGCTTGCTAGGTGTGTTGTCCAGGGCAAGTTACTTCTCTTTTCTGAACCTCACTTTCCCCACCTATAAAATGGATGGCATAACTGTTCATGGAGTGTTGTGCTGATAAAGTGAGATAAGGTGGACAAAAGAATATTGAAAGCTGTGCTATATCAATATGAAATATTCACAATATCATTCTTCACCCACTCAGAAGACTTGCTCTAGATGCCTCCGTGAGGTCAGTGATGATTCATCAGGTTGTTGTCTACTCTTGCTATTTGAACATAAATATTAGTGTGCACGTCCATAGAGGCCAAACATTTTACAGAAAGCCTAATTTTGGAAAAATGTGCGGCCTTGGCAGGCCCAATTGCTCTGAATAATCCAGAGGGCTGCACTCATTTTTTAATCAGATTCCATCCAGAGCTTTGTGTTGAAGCTCTAAAAATGTTTGCTGAAGGAGACCCAGCTCCCCTGTGGCAGATTGCTATTATACTACGTATCACGAGGCTGATGGATTAACCTGGAAAGTGCGTCAGCCCTTTTGGGGTGTGTAATCTCCAGATGCATATATTTGTAGACCTTCTGTTACAGTGATTCAAATTACTTTTCAGGGAATTAACTTCAAGGGGATGGGGTTACTGACATTTTCTACAAATTTTTCTTGTTGCAGCCAAGTTGTCAGAGTTGTCACCGCCATTCCGCATTGGTTATCATTAATCATGCTAGGCTTTTATATCTGAGGGCCCCAGGCATCGACTCCACAGCTGGATTATAAATGCCTTGTTTCAAATACTCCTGAAGTTTGGTCTTAACCTTTGAATCTCAAATGCCTTTTTTTTTCCTCGACCAGTTCAATTGAATTATATACTTGGAGAAAGTAAATTACATTGAGATCTGCCTCCCAATTTTAAATTATATGACTATAGTTCTCAAGACATATTCATATTCCACAATCATAATGGTGTGATTGCATTTCCTGCCCTTGGGTGTGGTTTTGAGGAAGTAATGAATTTGCTGACAAGATTCCCACATTTCATTCCCTTAGGAATAAAGTGGTAAAACTTTGAGTTAAGGATTTTTAGGATTGTTTTTCTAAAATAACATTTCCATTTAATAAGACACTCAAAGAAATTTTATTCCTATTTATTGACTAAATTTATTCGTATTTCCATGTAGTCAGTTCTTTCCTGTGAATGCAATTGGTTGCATGACTCTTTCCAGTTGGTTGGAAAGAGTCATAACTCAGAGACACTAAGGTCCATTGTCCTTGGCAGAGGGTGGATGTACCCCCAGGAAAGTTCATGATCAATCAACACTATGTCAGATGCTCGATGAGTGTTAGTTGGTGACTGTCTATTTGAGTTCCTAATGCAGTCCATGCTTTAAGTCTTCTTACTTACTCTTCTCACTTTCCTTTCTGACGCTCCATGCCTACCACTCACCTTTGCTTTACTACCACCCAATCACCTGTGTGTTGTCACAGCCCTCCTCCTCCTTATCTGGCCCCTCCAAGTAAAGTTCCCTTCCCTTCAGAACTCTTTCTCTTGGATCTGACTTCAAGTCCCCACTCATCAGCTTCCCTTTGTCCTTAGGTTTCAATGACATAAATGAACAAATTTATCTCTTCACCAATTTCTTAAAATGTGAGGTACAATAAATTCTTTCTGGTGCTATAATAATAATATGACTCAGTACTATAACCAGCAATTCACTTACTATTTCTCTGTGTGTTTGTTTAACATACAGGAGGTCCAGCCTGGTCATAACAACCAAACTCTACTGGGGTGGAAAGTAAGTTAAACACCTTTTATTTCCTTGACAAGAAACAACTAGTAGTTCGTGCTTTGATTCTTTTAGGCAACCATTTTACATCTAACATACTAAAATTAATTGGTTTGGAAAGAAAGATTTATTTTTTTTTCACTTGAAAGAAATAGCAATTAGCCTAGGATTCAATTTTAGCTAGATACCCCCAAAGAAGTTTAGTGCAAAGCATGTGGTCACTTGTTACTGAGTGATTCATGGAGATTTTCAAATACCAACATCATACTTAGAACCATTTCCAAAATAGAGTTCAAATTTCAGGAAAAGAAAATAAGCACATAGCATCACAGAAGAAAAGCTACTCAAATCTGCCAAAAACTCAGAGACTTCTACGGAAAACGATGATAAAAATATCTTGTCTGGCCCCACGTGTAAGTCTCTGATCATTTCTGCAGAGGGCTCTGAAAATGCTGATCAAAAGGACCATTTCATCGAAGAATAACAGGAAGCTGCCTGTATCACTCTGTCAGGCCAAATAAAAGAGTGGTCCTCTCTCTGTTGTGGGATGCAGAACAAATTTCACAGGATGAATTGGCTTCTGATGGACCTACTGGTATTTGAACTGGTACTTATATTATTCAGCAGGACTTAGAAGACTGGCCTCTTTGTCAAACATGTGAGAAAACAGCAAACTATTCCCTATTCTTTTTCATGGAAATCTCAACGATCTCCATGGAGTTCTAACAAAAAACAAAGACAAACACAAACAAACAAAACCTTATTTATTTCCCTGTAATTTATAAGGAATCGTTAAAGATAAAATTGAAGGGGAATCTTCCAATCAAAATGTATATGTGTATACACACACTCATATTTTAATGCTGATTTTGAGTTTGTTTATGATAAATATGAAGAAAGAAATATGAAACTTAGATTTTTATACCTATTGTAGTCTATATGAAAATAAAGCCGCATGGTGCATATGAGAAACGTAGGTTTATATTGTGTATACTCTGATTCATGGTGCCATTGCCTGGTGCTATTGTCTGTGATTTAGTAGTACTCAAAACCTGGCCTATGATTTAGAAATAAACAGGAAATATGACAGTCTGAAAGAACCATTATGTAATAGAGTACTACATACAGTATTATCTAATATACTTTTAATACAAAATCACCAAAGGCACATGATAAACTACTATGTTTTAAAAGGGGGTTGCTGGGACTTCCCTGGTGGTGCAGTAGTTAAGAATCCACCTGCCAATGCAGGGGACACAGGTTCGATCCCTGGTCTAAGATCCCACATGCCGTGGAGCAACTAAGCCTGTGCGCTGTGCGCCACAACTACTGAGCCTGTGCTCTAGAGCCCGCGAGCCATAACCACTGAAGCCCGCATGCCTAGAGCCCATGCTCCGCAACAAGAGAAGCTACCACAATGAGAAACGTGCACACCACAACAAAGAGTAGCCCCTGCTCACAACTAGAGAAAGACGGCATGCAGCAATGAAGACCCGACGCAGCCAAAAAGAAAATAAATAAAATAAATAAATTTTTTAAAAAGGGGGTTGCCAAAGGCATTGGTGTTAAAGAAGTATTTCATCAGTACTTTAAAACTCAAGGACCACATTTCTTTCTAATTGGCTAGAGTCTGAGAATGGTCTGGGCAGGCAAAAGTCCATTAAATATTCATCTTCTTGGGAAACTAAGGAAGACTCGGTACATCACCTTTTAAAAGAAAATAGTTGTTTAATTTCTTTTGAAAGTCAAAAGTCACTTTCAGATTTGCTTCCTTTCTCAGAAAAGCCAATGCTGTCAGTAGCCTGACAATCTTATAGTAAGCTCGCAAACTTACGTCAAGCTTTTGTTTTGTTTTGTTTTGTTTGGCTTGGGATTGGTTAAAAACAAGGTGGGAAGGTTGAGCCATGTGTCAAGTGTCAAATTATATATGGACAAGCTGTGCACAGCTGAGTTGTTATTTACGTGGTATGATGACAGTGATGGTTAGTTTATCTCCTGGGGTCAACAAAGAAAAGCCACTAGGTGTGCTGCCCACCCGCCTTCTCTCCCCAGCCTGCAGTGGTGCAGAATTTGCTAAGAACAGGGAATACCATTAACAATTCAGTCTAGAATGATTATTCTGTCCTTTTGAAACAGTGATTTTTAAAAAAGCACACCTCCACTCAAAGTCATTTGCTTCTTTTTCTTGTCAGAGCTGAGACGGAAAGAGGCTTGTCAAGAAAACATATTATTGAAGGTGAGTATTGCTTCCATTTTATCTTCGTTTGTGGGCTGCCGATTCAAGGAAGGTATCAACCAAACAAGTTCAAACCACATTGGAAGGGGGAAAAAATTCTCTATGAAAAGAACCACAGTCAACCACGTTTCTTCCTGGGGTTGAGTGTGGGGAGTGTAGTGATATAGAGGGGAAAATGAAAACTCAAAAAGACTGGATTCTCTAGAACTCTTCTCTTTTACAGCTATGCTAATGTTAATAAAGCACTTTTGTAAGATTTTTTTAAAACTTTATTGAGATATAATTTATATACCATAAAAGTTTACCCATTTAAAATATACAATTTATTGGTTCTGAGAATAATTACAGAGTGTGCACTCATCATCATAATTTGATTTTAAAACACCTTCATCTCCCCAAAAAGAAACCTTGTACCTACTAAGAGTCACTTCTTATCCCCTCCTTACCCACAGCCAAGCAACCACTAATTTACTTTTGTCTCATTTCATACACATGAGATCATACAATATGTAATATTTTGTGACTGGCTTCTTTCACTTAGCATAAAGTTCATCCATGTTGTAGCATGTATCAGTACTTCATTCCTTTTTGTTGCCAAATAAAATTCCATTGTATGAGTATACCACAGTTTGTTTATCCAATCATCAGTCGATGGACATTTGAGTTTTCACTTTTTGACCATCATGAATAATGCTGCTTTGAACATCTGTGTACAAGTTTTTATGTGGACATACGTTAAGACTACTATGCTTTTTTAAAAAGAGCATCTATGCATTAAAAGAAACTGGTGGAAAGTTACTACTAGGTAATTGATTCACAGTGCCATTGCTTTTGCAATGGTACTCAAAAATGGTATCATTTAGAAATAAACAAGAAATAATACAGTCTCCAAGATCTATTATGTGGTAGAGTACTGGCACTCTACTGTGAGGATTATGAGAATTGTGAGGAATTTTTTATTTATTTCTTGCTTGTCTATATATTACAAAAATTTTATGCTTCTACATTTTGCAATAAAGGAAAAATGTTAAAAGGGGCCACCATATGTTTCTAACATCTTTACACTAGTTCATGAACAATTCCATAAAAATTCAAGATTTTTATAACTTTAGATTCATAATTAATCATTGAGACAAATGATTCTTCTCCATTTTAAAACTAATTTCATTTATGAAATACCAGAGTCACCCAAAACATAAGATGTACTCTAATCCCACTACTTTCAAAATAAATATAGTTAAAGAAGTAAATTCCTCCCTTTGGTCACCTCATCTCATTCCACAGTTTGACAATACAGTGCATAGCCTTCCCTACTTTTCCCTGTAGTGTCACTGACTTATCTATCTACCTATACACACTTACTTATAAATACAAAAATGTATGTATTAATCACTAACTGTTTTTTAGTATATTTGTAGGCTTCTGGGCTTTGAAATCAGAAAAACATTGGTTCAAGTTCCAACTCTTGTCATTTATGAGCTGGGGGACTTTGTGCAAGTTACTTAACCTCACTCATCCTCATCTCCTGGACTCTGAGATGGGCTATCAATATCCTACCTCACAAGGTTACTCTTCAGGGATTGAACTTAGATTGTTCACATTGAGCACAGTGTCTGTCATATAATAAGCACTTAATAAATGTTATTTTTGTCATCATCACCATCATCATCGTTCTTAATAGTGTAACTACCAGTCTTCTTCCTATGGATAAGGACACTAAGTAAGTAATATTCTGAGGCTGCCACAATGAATGACCACATTCTAGCTCTTGAGAAAGCTTGCAAATTCCTTACCCAAACAAAATCCCTCCTCAGTTCATAGTATCCAGTTTGACATTGTACAGTCAAACCCAGCCTGCCTCCCCAAACTGTTACCATTCCTGCTCTAGCATTTGCCCCATGACTTTTGTCATCTACCACAAAGTTTGTCAAACAGAAAAAATCCAAGTCTTTGGCTTGTGTACCAAGCTGAACAAACATGGCGGCAGTGTGCTGCCTAGAAAGTTCTTGTTTTTCTTTTCTTTTCTTTTTGATCTAATTGATTCAAAAAGAGATTCAGAAAGTGATTTACACTAGCTATCAACAAAGAAATAGAAAAATTGATGAGAAAAAGAATGGAGAAGTTGTGCTACTGTGCTTTTCACTGAATCTCTATTGCTTTAATATTTACCAGTGTGTATGCATAATTTCAGAACTCTCCTTTTTAAGTCAGTTTTCTTCAAGCCACGTACAACTCAATAGAAATAAAATTCTCTCTCCTTTTAAATAAGTCAGAAATCCTCTTGGGAACTAATCTCTCAGGATGGATAAACCAGTTCAGCTGAAATTCAAATTGACCCAGATTCAAGCTAACACAAAATTTCAAACTTTTGAGGTTGAGGAAGAATTGGGATCAATTATTATGTTGTTACTGTTGGTGGTATTTTGCAGTTTATAGTTTCAGCCAAAGACAAAAATACTCATGACTGCAAGAGATTCAGCTCAAAGGATATTTCTAGGCAGGCTGAAATTAGGGAATTGAGTGAATTTTACAGAAAAAAAGAAGGGACGTGAGATTTCTAGACCCAGAATAAATTTTGAAAAAGTTTACAAATCGTTATCCTCAGGTTTCATTGGTACTTGGCCTGTGATGAGGATGACTTTATTCAACATTGGCGTTTCATATGCACATTAAATTTGAGAAGCACTGTTAAAGAATGAGACAGAAGTCCAATTCATGTAGAGTTCAGGCCACTTGTGGGCTGGGTGACCTTGGCCACCTGAGTTAGTTTTTAGAGTGTAAAATTAGCTTGATTTGGGCATAATGCAATTTTGAAAAAAGTCATATGAAAGACCTTTTCAGTGAGCCCAAAGTCCTTGACTTAGATCCAGCTAGAAACAACATTCTCCTTAGATTAATAAGGAGGGAGTAGAAATTTCACTAATAGGTTTATTATATTCATTTGGAATCACAGGATCCTCCCAGGCTCTGAAAGTCTATTTATCCATTCAGCCATTCCACAAACATTCATTAAACCCAAATTTGTGCCAGTGTTAAAATTTAGCAGATCAAAGCTCTTTAGTATCTAACATGAAAGAATGGAAATAGTTTGGTAAGTCAAATTGTAAGCGTAAGTAAATTGTTTCTGTGATTTTATAGGCAAAAGCTGTGTTTAGGTCTGTATTTGCCTTTCAGGTAAACAACAGTTTTGTTATGTGATTCAATACACAAACCACTGTCCTTGTTTTAGGAGGAGGAGAGGAAAATAATCTGAGAAAGCTCCGCTTGAAACTTTTTAATGAATGGCAAATATTAAACCCTACTATATGAACTTTTTAAGAAAGAGACAATTGATGATTTTTCAATTAAAGAATAAATTTCTTAACAAATGGATTCACCACAGGATTCCTTCCCAGTGCACCATGTTCATGGTAAACTGAAATCACCCACCCAAAACAATCATGTTTCATAATGGGAGGTGTAGCCAGTTATATTATTCTAATGCAGGGCAGTCTTTATAAAAAGAAGCATGTCTCAAATCATGACTGAGAGGTCTGCCGAGAAGAAGCTGGAAAATTATATTGGGAAGCAGTGTACATTATTTAAGGCAACATTTGTTTTCAAGCCTGATCGGAAAACAAATATGCCATGGGGTAGAAGATGATGACACAGCATATTTGAAGAGAACATTGCAGAATTTCCAAACTACTCGTGGCCTTGTTTCTACAGAGTTAAATCTGCAACGATGAACACACGTTCCACCTCTAACCCTGCCAAAACTGCTTAACATCTGGAATGAACATATTCCTTTAGACGCCTATGAAATAGGCTTAAATTGAATCAATTTTCACCTTATGAACAATACAGTTCCTGTTGCACTTCAGAACCTAAAAGAGAGATTAACTTAGATTTCTTTTTACTATAGTCACTTGAAAGCTATTTTCTTTACATAATTTATTCTCCTGTGGACTTTTGAGGACTTGCCAGTTAACATCTAGACATCTCCTCAAGAGCAGGGAACGTTTCTCCTGCTTCTCCTGTCTTCACTCCCACAGACACTGGGTTAGCGCCAAGGGACAGGCTAATGTCAAAAGTGCCTTCAGCAAGTGCCTTCGCTGCACGGGATCACTTACCTCCTTAGGTCATGATTAGCCATTTGGATGCCGCTCTGGAGCCAAGGTTAATGTATTTTTGCTCATCTACTTAAACTTAAAACAATACTTGGCCCCAAGCCAATGCTCAACAAACATTTGCTAAGTAGAGGTAGAATATGACTATTTGTTTATTGGAGATAAACCCTAAATGGCTCTCAAGGAGACACTTGTTAGCATGTCTTTATGTTGCTACAAGATTAAAGCATCCGAATAGAAAAAGCCAGGACTAGCTGATTTGTTTTGTAGTCACATGAAAGATCAAAACAGAAAGACCATCTAGCTCCATTTTGTCTGTGGACAGATGAGGCTACTAAGGTCCACAGAGGCTAAGAGACTGGCAAAGTCATTGAAGCCAGCGCGATTTAGTACCCTGGATCCCAAGGCCTGTGCCGCACCTGCATGAAGACCTCTCCTCTGAATGCCAGACTGGTCCATCCAGCAGCCAAGAGCTCCGTGGGGTTGACTGATGTGCTGCTCAGACCCATCATGGCTCCCAACACCACCACCAGTCTGCTTCTCCCGTGACTTTCTCATTTACTAACAGTCTCTTAACTTCTCAGGCCAAAAGTCTAAGAGTCCTCCTTGATACCTCTACCTCCACACTTTATACTCAGCACACCAAGAGTCCTCTTATTTCTACCTATACAACTTGTCCCGAATTTGAACACTTCTCATCAACTTGGTCCAAGCGTTGTCTACTACAGTGACCTCCTCACTGGTCTCCCCTCCCTGCTGTCACTCTCGCCCCTGAAGGTCACTCTCAGCAGGCCAAGAGATCAGTTCAGAACACAAATCTGATATCATCATTTCCCCAACTTAACTCCATTTCTTTACCTCCCAGCCCCTCCCCAACGTCTTTCCATCTCACAAAGAGTAAAATCCAAAATTCACGCCATGGATTACAAGACTTTATGTGATTGAGATTTTCAAAGTGAGCAGACAGTGTCTCTTAGGTGCACAACCTCCTTTTACTCCACTTCAGAGTCAGAGTAGAGACCTGGTGGATCATTGACAGGATACAACACATCATTTCTTATATTCGCATGTGAATACTCTTGAATCTTGGCCTAAATATCAAGAAAAAAGGCTTTCCGGAGAAAGAATTGAGAGATGAGGAATGACTGAATACAATGAGACTGTCATTCTATCAAGTCCATGTCATTATTTATGGGTGCATACTATTACCTTGAACTATGAACCTTTGCCAATAGATGCTCTCAATATGTACTCTTTGGTCCCTGGAGATAAATACAAATACCATGTCCATGCATCTTTAACCCCCCAGAGCCCAGCACAGTTTCAGATCAAATTGGAACTCAGTACTTGCTTATGGCATGGAAGAGGAAAGGACTTACGTTGTGACTGATCACACTGCATTCCAACAGGTCAGAGTTAGTCATAGCTCCTTCTAGTTTCTCTCAGCCCACACTGAGCTGTTCAGAAGAGCACAGAGGGAGAGCGCCATCATCAGAAAGGAGGACACTTTGTTTCCAGTGCCAGGCATGGGCCAGAACTGTCACTAAATGTCTCCCTTTAAAACCAGGAGGTCCAGTGAAAATCTTTGGCATCTAGTCTTTGGCACCATTCATCTTGAGTCTTTCCAGATGTGAGCACCACTGTTATAACTACCGCACTTCTATAGACTGTTGCACTTACCAAGTGCTTGCCAACTGATTTTATCTGCTCTCTGGAGCAGCGATCCTGAAGGTTGTAAGTATTTGTTATCTCCACTACAGGTTAGAGAACTGAGTCACACACAAAAAGGTCAGCTAACCCAAGTGGGATCACATGCTAGAGTACAGATTTCCAACCCTTCAGACCTTGGGATACCCTATTATTGTTTGCTTAATTATCTTTTCCTCTCCTTACCTCCTCCATACACACAGCTGCTTCCAAAGGTGGCTCATATCATAGTGCTTTTTAAGCTGAATTTAATTTCAAGATGCCCATTGAGATAGCTGGTAATACCCCGAGCCTGAAAGCCAGTGGTTTTTTAAGAACAGGCATTAGACTTTACAACACCTGTCTGCCCTAATCTCTTCATCAGTGCTTCTTTTAACAAGCTACCATCACAGACAATCCTTTCTCAATTAATGAAAAATTATTTCCGGAACTGTATTCAAGCACTCCATCTTCCTGTCAGAAAAGTAATTGTGGCTGGCTGATACGCCAGTTTGAAAAAATCAAATTTAAATGAGCCAAATTTAAATTTATAAGAGCCTCATTTAACATGCAATTAATTTTACACCTATAATAAAAAGAGAAAAAAACCCAGTCTTCCTGTGGAATTAAATAGGCTGATAAGGAAATGCTGTGCCTCATAGAAATGAGAAAATAATTCTTGAACACTGTCATCCTTTTGGTTGCATAATACTATATACAATATGTTCTGTCTCAGGGAAGTATTAATTTTACTGAAATTAAATATTTTTTTCTGCATAATCATAGGAATGTGACTCAGTGGTTAGGGTTGAGACATAGATTATTGGCTCCAGATTTTTTTTTTTAAGCTCTCACTCTCTCCTTTATATTACCCCTTAAATCTTTAGGGCTTCTAGTGTTTTTGTTTCTTCTCAAAAGAATGGGGAATAATAGAAACGGTAGGGCTCAGCTATATTTAAAGTTCTTCGAACTTTTGTTTTAATTAGTAAAATGTTGAGCGAAGCCTTCATTTGCCAACCCTTTTATTCCTATTAAAACCCATGTGTACGTTAAGATGGGGTTATCAGTCACTTATTTATGACTTACACCATTTTATTGTTTTTGATATGCAATAAATATATCTCCATCCCATTATAAGCCCATTAAGTAATTCAAAACATGACATTAATTTGCATTTTTCAAGAAGAAAGAAGTTAAACTCAGGCTGCTTTTTATTACTTTGCTTCTAGACACAGCCACACAGGAGCCACCGTGAAAAGTCATTACCAAGTGTGGATTTCCAGTGGAGCACTAATACCATTGAGAAAGTTCTAAGGCTTTTCTTTGTTGGGGACAACGTCAGCCCTTGATATATTTTTGAAAGGTTCTAGGGGCCAATAAACACATCACAGTATTCAATGTCTTTTTTGAAACTAATCCAATGCTTTTTCTTTTTTAAAGTAAATTCTTGAAGGAAACCAAGCTTCAACTATTTCTAATAGTGCTCATATTTAGATTTTTTGAGGTTTTCCTGCTTCTGTTTCCAGGACTGAAGGGCTCCCTCCAGAGGCTGCAGCTCGAGTATGTGGATGTAGTCTTCGCAAATCGACCAGACAGTAACACCCCCATGGAAGGTGAGTGAAGAAATGTAATAAAAGACTCTAGAGTTATTGATTCTAGCTTGACGACTTATTCCACTCACAGTAGGAAATGAAATATATTCAGACTGATTTGACTGAACGTGAAAAATAAAAACCTTTCCAGTCGATGTCTTTCAGCCTCAATATTTACCCACAAAGTCAGTGCTCCGCATCTTGCATCTTCATTAATTTTTAAGCAGTTGCAGGCACTGGGAGTGTGGCTCCTACCATTACAGTGCTCACTTTCTCCAGGTTCCTTTCACTTCTGTGATTTTATCAACTAAAACAATAAACGTAATTGGAAGGGGAGTTTATAACCCAGCCATCATTATTTTGGAGTTCTCTGAGGGTGTTCTTACTTTATAATGACTCTAGGTCAGATTAGTCTCCAATCTGTGGTGATAAGTGCTAAGTGCTACCATGAGCAGAGGCTTTACAGGAGCAACTACTTGAAAATGTGACTCTTCGTTGCAATCTGGTTTTTGATTCTCAAGGAGCTGCAATATTTTATCCCCATTGTGTTAACAACTGTTTAAAGACAATTTAAGTATCTCCCTGTGGAAGCTTTCAGAATGTTCCTAAAACCAGATTTTCTTCAATCTGCATTTATTTATGGAAACTACCTAGGATGATTGAAGATAGTTTGGGAGGAAAAATTTAAAAGAAGGTTCTAGTTAATTGAGATTTATAATCATATGGATTATCATATACCTGAGGTGAATGAGAATGAAGATATTTGGGAAAAAGAAGGAAAAAAATAATGTTTTGGTTATTTGAGGTTTACTATATGACATGGATTTTACAAATTTTTAAAGAATTAGAATACTTGACATAAAATTACACTAAGGTAAATTTAGTTTTGATGATTCAAAAGGTAGTTCAGGATCTTGTAATAAATCAGGTTCTGTAAAGGTTTGTTCTTGCTAGAGGGTTATAGAAGTTATGGAAGTTATAAATGATTGCAGTGTATATAAATATTTCTGTAGGCTGCATTTCTGAAAATAAAAGTTGTGGAAACTATTTTCCTTGCTATTTATGTCTTTCTCAACCACAGAGAAATGGTTAAAATATATATTTATATATCTAATTTTCTCTTAGAGTTTTCTGCTTTTTTTGATTTGAGTAAATTAGGAGTTTATTATAAAGCAATATCAGTGTTGGAAATTCATAATAAGAAATTATCCATGGAAATGACATAAAATGCATATTTTTATCAAAGCAAAGAATAGGTGTTTGATAAAGCAAATCATAAACATTTTATTGGTGTAAGAAGTGCTTATTGCAAGGATAATATGATGTCACACTATTCTTAATGCCACATTAAAACAGAGCACTGAAGCTATCGTGTGAGCACAATTGTCAAGTAAAATGCCATTCAGTGGCGGCTGTGAAAGACTGAAATTGCTTCCCATTTTAAGTGCCTGGTGACTATTTTCCTCTTTGGAAAAATGTCCTTTGCAATTATGCTATGTACAGGAAAGAAGAACATCTGGGATTTTCCAGCATCTTTTTTTTTTTTTTTGGCTCATTTTCCCCATTCTACCACTATCTTTAATCTGAGGGATATGATATAGAAGTCTCTGAAACAGAAAACATTATAATTTGCATTATATACCTACAGAAGGAGAAAATTCTCAATTAGGAGCCAAACTATGTGATACTGATAAGATAATGGCATCTCTTATATAAAGACTAATTATGTGTTGACATTTATCAGAAGGGAGCTTCAAAACATAGAAAACAAAAACAAAAACAAACCAGATTGCTACCTGATAGAATGTATTACTGCAGCATTAACCAGTCTCCGCTGGAATCAGAGAATATTTACATTTTCCCTGAGTTTCTTACAAAAAAATACCACAAAGGGCTTCCCTGGTGGCGCAGTGGTTGAGAGTCCGCCTGCCGATGCTGGGGACACGGGTTCGTGCCCCAGTCCAGGAAGGTCCCACATGCCACGGAGCGGCTGGGCCCGTGAGCCATGGCCGCTGAGCCTGCGCATCCGGAGCCTGTGCTCCGCAGCGGGAAAGACCACAACAGTGAGAGGCCCGCATACTACAAAAAAACAAACAAACAGCTTCCTATTCTGCTTTGTGGTATTTTTTGTTTGTTTGTTTTGCGGTACGCGGGCCTCTCACTGCGCAGGCTCAGCGGCCATGGCTCACGGGCCCAGCCGCTCCGTGGCATGTGGGACCTTCCCGGACCAGGGGCACAGGTTCGGGGCACAAACCTGTGTCTGTCCTGCATCGGCAGGCGGACTCCCAACCACTGCGCCACCAGGGAAGTCCAGGAAGCTGTTTTATCATGAGTCATTGTCCAAGTTCAGAAGTCTAATGAAGGGTGTCAAATAGAGATTTGTACTTGTTGATAAGGTCAAGAAACATGGCATGTCAAAGCTCTGCGGCAACCAACCTCCTTATGCTGGAATGTAGCCTGCTCTCTCCCACCCCCAGCAAAGGGAGATCCACTCCTGGCTGGCACATAAGACTCCAAGGCTTATTCCTCTGGGATGACTTAGCAAGTTCACACTACAGGCAAGTCCCCATGTAGGACTTATTCCAGATTGAAATAGCTTCCCTGTGATGTCTCCCTAGCTTTGCAGAAAATGTGTATCCTCAAACAATATACTCATTTGTTCCAAGGTGAGCCAGATGGAAGGGCCAGTTTGGTATTAGCCTCTAGAAACTCATTCTCTATATTTAGTCTTTCCTTCTTTACTGTATCAGAGGAAAGGACTGATCTGGGCAACAGAGAGAAGAAGAAATAGGAAATAAGAAAAAAATAAGAAATAGGGATTTCCAGGTAGGCTTGGGTGCATTTTCTCTTCTAAAAATGAAAAAAAAGGTGTGTAAGCTATGTCTGGATTCCATGTTGTTATTAAGTTTCATTTTTGCAATGATTTTGTGAATCATATATGTGTGTATGTGAGTGAAAGTTGTACCTGTACAATGGGGTCTACCTTAGGAAGGCTATTAGGGTTTCTAAAAACAATAGAAAAGTAAATGTTACGTATAGTCAAAATTACCCTTGAAAACCCTATAGTAATGACTTGTTGTCAGTGTTACTCTATAGCCTTTAATTACTCAATTTCTTCTCCAAATATAGTGACAAAACCATCACTACATACTTTCCCAGACACCTTTTTTTTTTTTTGGTAACAGCCTTAATATCATTCACATACTTTTCTTTAGCAACTCACATTGGCAATTTTAGGCTCAACTGCATCCATTTCTGTCTAATATAAGCGATGGAACAGTGGTTGCCAAGTGCATATTGCTGAATTTTCCTATATTAAATCTACATATGTTGGCACTGTTCTTTGTATGTGTGCCTCACAGTAAACCCTTAACATTTGTAGATCACCTTTAATTGGTTTCAACCATTCCCGTCAATTCCATGGACCCACAACACACCCTAACTTATGATTTTGCCAAGGCACCTATATTAAACCCTGGGGAACTAATGAGAGAACTTAGCCCAGCTTTCTAAGACTCATTTTAAACAACTTTGATTTAAATTTATTAAAATGCCAACCCCATCCTCTTGATTCGCACCATGAAAGGATGTTAATTGGGAACACTTCTAGAGTAAACCAGCGTGAGTCTCGTCCAGTTTCTACATATCAGATGACAACAGATTGAGCCAGAAAAAGATTAGCAGTAGCATCTTCATGATATTGGCATCATGGATCAAATTAGTTGTTCCCTTCCCTCCTTCCTTAGAAAGCCACTAGACAAAAAGTGAGTCCTTTCAAAAGAATGGCCATAAATTCCCAAAGTGCAACCAATGGAGGAGGAGGTGAGACAGCCTTTGTAATCTACAACCCTGTGGAATGCAATTAGACATTTTACAGCTGTGGGAAGATGTTCCTGACAACAGAGGGGAGCTTGTATACTTTTTCCTCTGTCCTTCTTGTTTATTTTTTCTGGTTCACCTAGTAGTAATTCATTTTTCTTTCACAGCACCTGCCATGCCATCTGTCTCTGCTATAATATCTGGCGTTGATGGCATGTTTTCCAATTCCAGAAAAAATCAGTCCCATGTCCCATTTCTTCTTTCTTATACTTCTGTGTTCTTCCCAGTAGAGTCACTGACAGTTCCTTGAGCTCCATGATACTCACATTCTTAAGTCTCTCACTTCCATAAATCCCCAAAGTATATTTCAAAATCTTCTCTTAAGCTCATTAGTCAAGAGAAAGTTCATTCCAACATGAATCATGTTGGACATGGATAGACACAGAGCAATTGTGTGTCTGAGGACCTGCACTAGGAGTTTCTGGTGTGGTTTTCTGTCATTCACAAGTGCTAGACTAACTTCTCCATCCATACTCTTCTCATTGATCCAGAGAGGAAATAACTGAGCATGATTGTGGGCATGAAAGGAGGCTATAACCATGTACCACTTGTGAATAGTAGAAAAAAGAGGAGACCCATTTTAGTTTATGTAGCTTTTTAAAAAAGGAAAGAAGAAAAGCCACTAAATTCATTGATCTGAGAATATGAAGATTTTAAAATTAAATTACACTTTAATTAAATTTTAATTTAAAAAAATTTGGAATTGAGTCCTCTTTTATTTATTTAGAATTTTTTGCCAAAACTAGTTAATCTCACAGACTCCCAGAGTCATTAGATATTATTCTCAATCTAATTACAGTTCAAATTATTTATTTTTTTCCTGCTAGTAGGTCAATGCAGACATAAAACAACCCAGATGTCTTATTTCAAATAAGAGAGACAAGATCAAAGTTAGCTTCACTTAATTTCCATAACATCATCATGTCAAACAACCTATTCCAAAAGAATTTCCTTCTTTCTAAGCCATCTTTTTACTGTCCACATATGCCAGCAGGAATCTACAGATATTCAGGAATCTAGGACATCCAGTGACAGCTCAGGAAATACCAGAGAGCGGCAAACATTGCAGGATCCCAAATTTTCTACACTTTCTCAATTCCAGAACGCTGGCCCTGGATATTTAGCATCCAAAGTAAAGTTTT